CAGCGGCCAATCAGCTTGACAACATCCTCGTGAGATGCTTTGGACACATTAATGTCGTTCACACTCAGTATTTGATCTCCGGAGCAAAGTCCCACATAGTCAGCCGGACTACCTTTCAGGATGCAATTTAGCACACATGGAGACTGACCAGATAGTGTAAAGCCATAGCCTGTTCTTCCCCGCGCAACCTCCACCCCTCTTATGCGCGCAGACGGCTGGGCATTCACACGCCTCCTGCCTTGCTCTGATTGTCTGAACATCCTTCTTTCAGTCCCTGTTTTACTCTCTTCTGACTAGGGCTCACAAAAGCAGAGATGGCGAGTTTAGTGATATCATCCTTCCAGCTCCAGAGCCCCAGTCTAAGGCACTAACGTGGTGCATGCCTGAATATGCATACAACACCTTCACAAAGGAGAGAGGGAAAAGGTCATTAATTCATTGACAAATTAATAATCATATTAAGAGAAAATTATATGGAAATGGTGAAAATGTAATTTCAGTTGTTAAAATATGCATTTGAAGTTGATTAAATTATTAAGGATTTATTAAAACATTGAGAATTGTGGTAACAAATATGTTACTGCTTAGTCATGATTATTAGTTCATTCCAGAATAGGCTTTCATACAGATATACACTTTTTTTTACCCACCCTTACCTGCCAACCAGAAAGAAATATTCCAGCAGAGAGTTCACCTTGTTGCAGGTGAGAGGACAGGTAGTTGTTGCTAAGCAATAGGAGTAGGGTGGGTATCAGACAGAGATCATGCATTATTCTAAATTCATAAATAAAAATGACACAAATCAAACTTTTCATATACATCTGCGTTGATGTGTATGGGTCAATGACAAGACTCTTTTTTATTATTTATTTAAAAATACATTAAAAATGTATACCAAAAGTGTATGATTTTACATTTTCCATGATCAACATGTTTTCAATCGTGTATTTATTTATTTAGTGTGGCTACAAATCAGAAATGTCCAGGTGGTGTAACTGATAAACAAATAAATATATATGGAACCAACATGACTACAGGGATTCAATTTCTAAGAACCTGGAACCTGTGTTTTCAAAATATCTTTTTGTCATGCCGCCATTTGGCACTGACCCACATAACGTAATGTTATATATAATGTATATAAAATATAACAATATAGAACTTACAATAAAAAATACAAGAGTTACTGGACATTTGCAAGTGTATATATGCAATATGCATTTTAAAGACGGCGGAAAATGTTTTTGAAAAGTGGCGTGGAGTTAGCATTTTATAATAATAAACATGAAACTGATAGGATAGAAAACTGATAGGATACATAAACTCACAAATGTAATAGTGTTTGTCATCGATATCTTTTCCGTATTTTCCTACAAACTTTCTTGAAGTTACAGATGCGAAACAGACTCATCCACTCTTGCTAACGGTCCCGCCTTCTTTTTCCCATTGTTGGAATGCCCACGCGTCAACATGTGTAACCATGACAATGGACCGTCTCTAGATATTTCTCATCGCTCATTGGTTTCCATGGCTGTCAATCATCTCCACAACGACCCAAGCCCAGTTTGACGGAAACTCGCCAACTGACTGACCACAAAAGTCATGCTACAGGTGTCCAAATCAACACGAGCGAAAAACGATAGAAAAGTAAAACACCACCGTACACATCTTAATACATACTACGCTTCAGATGAATTTAATATTTAATATCGGTAGACAGCCGAGCTGCATCGGTATTGGTTTTCGCGAGAAACAGCTGGGCAGTGAGTAACATCTAACGGTATTGAATTATCGGCAGCAATAGCCAGATACTGACAAGAGTAACATATATTGAGACAAAACTCGTTATAAGCTATAAAACGATAACCCCATACAGATACGCATGCAGTTACATCACAGTATCGTTTACCTACAATGTATGAAAGTTTTCATATCCGCACAAAGTACAAGAAATTCCCATGGCTACATTGCTAACATTAGCCGCCACTTCCCAAAACTTTCCTGTGAGGAAGAAATAAAAAAAAACTCGTAGCATTACAGTACAGGTGATACTGAGTTAAAGATCATAGTTATATATTAGGTAATTAAGTGTACTTACTTCCCAACCTGATGTGAAGTTTCATGACATGGTAACCTTAGTGCTGCATAAGGAGTAAACAAAAGGAGAGGGCAGCTGGTGTGTGGACAGCAGAAGCAGGAGGAGCAGGAAACTATATCTCAGTTTTTTTCTTCTTTAAGGACAGCACCGGCATAGGGGTTTTCCTTCACGTGACATATTGGATTTAGGGCTATAATTCAGTTTATCCGCAGTGTTATATAGATGTGGTGTTTAAGAGTTATTTGAATGGTATAAAGTAAAATATCCTGCCAAGTTCACACTAGCACCATTTAAAATAATTTTAAAAATTGTTCTTGTTCTTTTAATAGGTCTGTAGAAAATGACAGATTTTTCCATCCAAGGTTTTTCCATAACAAATAAAACATGGAATTATCAAGAGAGATATGGTTTATTTCAAGATTATTAGTAGTAATTAATTTAGTTAATAATTAACAGCTGCTGCTATTGACCTGACATAAACATAAATGAAAATTTTAATTTCACACACACACATTGTGTTTCCATGTTTTACGGGAACATTCCATAAGCGTAATGGTTTTTCTACTGTACAAACTGTATTTTCTATTGCCCTATCCCAACGCTACACCTTAACCTGCCCCTCACAGGAAACTTTCTGCATTTTTAGATTCTCAAAAAACTTCATTCTGTATGATTTATAAGCTTGTTTGCCCATGGGGAACTCAATGTAGTCCCCATGAGTCGATGTGTATTCAGGTTTAAGTCCCCACCGGGATAGAAAAACATGTACACATACAGACACACACACACATACACACAAGCCCTGAGGCTTGGAATCCTCCAATTGTTCTGCACAGAAAGCTTTTCAGAGGATTACCAGCATAAATTCAAAAACATCTAAATCCATTATCGAGCACATCATAAAACATCCTGCTTTGGAATAGAAAATGTTCAAAGCCTTGGAGTAAACGTAAAAAAAAAAAAATTCTAAAATGAATAATGATGATAAAAAAAGTAATCACATTATATTATCTGAAGGACCATTTTAATTAGCAAAGTTTAGCACTTTTATTCAAAATCTAACGTGCATATCAAATACCCAACTGTCACTACAAAATAATGATAATAAAAAAAGAACAGTGTCTCTCTCGTTTCCCCTTTAAAACTCCCATTCTGTGTGAAATACAAAAGTCAAAAATAATTGACAGGCTGGATTTAGCTTCTGAGTCACTAATTGACGAGCCCCACAATACATGATAAACAATAAAAAAATGCAATTAAACAAATGGAACATTCTACATCTTTTATTCATTTCTATATTATAGCATTTTCATGATTTATGACATTAAAACAAACCATTAAAACAAATACATCAATTTTTTGTCCTTTTTACCAGCTATAGTTTGCATACGTGAGCTAAATAAATAACAAAGGGAATAGGTTTCTTAAAAATTAAAAAAAAGCTCCGGTGCTTCACCACCATGGCATCGTACTGTGATATTTATGAGACTGTAAAAAATAATAATAATAATCAGAATTTGCTAGAAAAGAACAATATGATGCAAGGGGAGTGGCTTAAAAATTATTCCCATCTGAGGTGCATTAAGGATTCTCCCGTCTTTCGTAAATGAAGCTTCCTAAGCACACAAACTAGAGGATAAAAGGTATTTACCGTCTGATTTTTATGAAATTGCGATAGGCTCAGTAGTAACATTAATTCTGCAGTATGTCACGTTTGGTCCAACCACATTGGTGGTCTTTGTGAAAGGCATTCAAGTTATTCCAGCTGTACGTGACCCCTAACAATACTGTCATATTAAGCCCAACAAGACTTGAGATTTAAAGATCTTCAAAGCTGCCATCAGAGCCGCTAAAGATGTGTTTCAAGGGACACAGTATGTAGATTTGACTTATGTAAATCTAATATTTTGAATGGCTCTATATTTTGAATGTAGGTCAGTAAATTCTGTAGGCATGGGGCAATATTTACTCAAGATGAATCTGACAATACATTTCAGGGAACTAAAGGCTTTTCACTGAGCAGTAAAAATATCCTAACTGCTATGTGCATATTCCGCTTCACTAAGACAAAGTAAACATCTTATCGGAATCAGAATAAACAGATATATAATAGACATAACCAGCTAATTGTCTCCATGGAAGCAGATTAACAAGCATACCATGAGTCATGTAATTTGCCAGATTCGTCTGCATTGGTAGTTACGGTTATGCAATTTCCATGTAGACTGAGCCGACTAACAATAACAAGTCACCCCGTTTCAAAAGTTAGTGTCATCACATAAAATACTGACTCAATATTGAACGCAGACTAAAGCATGCTTCAAGTTAATATACGTACATTAGCTTCTCAAATAGACTTATATTTACAGTGAAGGTTTCTATGCCACCCAAGATGGATAAACAATTTTTTTTAGTCAGTCAAGAGTCTCTCAAAAACGAAAGGTTGGGTTATTGCGCACATTCAGTTAACGGCCTTTGTATTTACACCATCTCATGTCCACCATTAGATGTTGTCATGCACCACAGTTTATTCATTTAATCACAAATAGTATTTCTTTTACACAAATGATACATTGATGTAAACACTCTATAGATTAAAATACATACTTCCAGTCATTACAGTAGATCAATAATCATATCTTATGTCCTGAGCTTTTAAAAGAAATTTAACAAATAACTAAAGATGTGTTTCAAGGGACACAGTATGTAGATTTGAGCTGCAATTTTCATATGCATAAACCATCGTCTAAAAACGTATCTATGCTGGCTATTTCAAACCGCGTCCATACAAAGGGACTTTAGAGATTCACATTTGTGATCTGGTTTCTCTCAGTCTTTAAAAAAATCAACTTAAAAACAACAAATATAGACAACCAATTTTTAAGAGGAAAAATAAACTTTGTTCCAGGCAATTCACCCCTCTTACTCAGCAAGTCAAACACATTTTACATTTAAATACACAAAAATCTTATCATACCAATAGTCGTACGCAACCTCTCCCACATTAGAGGGGATACACAAATTCAATTTACAATCTATTTTCGCTTCAAGTGCTAGCAAACACAGAGCAAAGCAATGCGTCGCCCCATGCAAAAGGAATGCTTTTAAACTGAAGGAGTAGCGAGTGTACGAAAGCGAGCGTCTTTCCTTTTTAAGGGAGCAGGAGAGTATGGACTGTTGGAGAGGAGGGTAGAGACAGGCATCGTATAAAATATCCGGATGTACTGATTTTAGCAAGGTTGGACAATAAGTAAACTGGAGTAGCTAGGTCTGTGGACTTAAAGATCTGATCTTGGATCTGCTAAATTCCAGAAGTGCAGGAGATATTTTAATAGTGTTTGCATCATGTTTGTAAGAACATTCACTACAATATGTTCTTTAGTCAGTTTGTTCATAGCTGAAAATTCTCTATATTAGAATATTACGTTACTAATGATGGAAACGCATCATCATGCAGTTTTGACCCCATAACTGATAACCTTTGCGACCAGCCTCACAGTTTTGCCACAGTAACATTCTTTGATACTAGATGAAGAGCATTTATACATACAAAATATGGAGAAGCCTGCATCCATATAGACTTTGAGACGTTAAGTGACATACAGTGAAAGCAGTAAAAATATTCTTATGGTAGCACTACTTTTTTTGATTACAGATTCTGGTGTGCTGTGGTTCGTGTGGCCTCGTCCTTGCTTGGATTGGTCCCACTGTCTCTAATAACTATGAACTACTTGGGCTAATGTCCTCTGGTGTATCACGGACAGTTTCATAGCAACCGTCCATACATCCAATCAGAGATAATTGTTTCTTGTTGCCATGCATCCTGGTATGTAACGTTCTGATAAGTGTGATGTCTTCCGCTCGAGTACTGTTACCAACTTTTTGATGCCTAATTTGTAATGGAGATCCTAATGATACAATATTGTTTTCTGTATTATAGTGACGTGTCTTGGTGAATGCTCTGCAAACAGCACAGTAATTGGTAATACGGACTACCAGGTGAAGCCACCATCTCAAAGACCGTCTGGAAGGCCCTGCGGTCTAACTCTTCATCGATCTGGTGTCGGTAGAAATCCATAGCTACCAGACAAAAGAGACTAATATCCACTGTGTCGGACTTCCCCATGCGACTGATGACATGAGGCAGGCTAAACAGAAGGGAGATGTTAAGGAAAACAAGAATGAAGACAAAAAGGAAAGGAAAGCATGGAATAGGAAGTGTGCTGTCACCAAAACAAGAGGTGCAATAACTGCACCAACTGAAAATCATGTGTTTAAGGATACAGGGCAGAGATCCACTGACTGGTCGAGGCACTGACAAAGAAACAAGACAAGCTCCACATTGCCATGGCGACAGGCGTCCTCTGTGTGAAGTTTGACAGCGAGAGTAGCACCCAGTCACGCACCATGGAGGACTGCCCAGTTGCATGAAGTGTCTGAAATACCTGTATCAAGAAATACATGCACTTATATGACCATATTACTTGTTTATATAGTGACTTCAAGGGATAGTTCACAAAGAATGTTTTAACTGTTTTTGTCCATACAATGAAAGCCAATGGGGTCCAAAACAACATGGGATAGTATTGATTTCATTGTATGTACAAATATGTAAAAAAAAATTTTTTAAATATAATCTGTTCAACAGAAGAAAAAACAGGTTTGGGACAACATGAGGGTGAGTAAATGATGACAGAATTCTAGTAAGACTAAAGATGCGAACACATTTACTGATGTTCGGTGAATTTTCATGGGCAAAATCTGGAATTTTGTATGGGGGCGAAAACTTTTCCCCCATGCAGATTTCACAACAGTTTAAAAGTTGTTCATGCGGAATCTCCACGTTGACTAACAGAAAGCTGCTTGGTTTGAGAGTGACTACTATGTGAGCTGTATTTTATATAATCGCCGCTCTACCAACAATAGACAACGGACCTTTTTTGCCTGTGAAATTTCGCTAATGTGACCACACTTTTAAGAATCAAAAGCATTTAAGATCACAGCGCACCTAAAGCATTATGTAAGAAATTGGCGCTCAAAAAGTGGCACTTGCCTTGTATACCACTGTAGCCATGAATTGCGGGTAAGGCTGCTGATTGGACAGGAACTCCCCAATGACTTTGTTCATGACATCCTGCAGTGGGAAAAAGTCATCCAGGAACTGAGGAAGGATCCGGGATACCACACGCACCTCACTCGGAAAGCCTTTGCGAATCCTGTGGCAAGAGTTTTCCACAGACGAATCAGTGCAATACAAAAATGCTTTTAGCTAGGGCAAGTTTCTTCAAAAAAGACATACATACCTGTCAAACAGGACAGATACACGCTCCATTGCGACAATGACCGATTCGCTGTCAGGAGCTGTGGGGTCTGCATCAACAGGGCGCCCAGGACTTCCCTTCTCCTTCCCTGTTGGGTAACATTATGGCCACCAGTAAGAGAAACCGTTCCATAATGGATCCATGCAGATAAAACTAGATTTCTATACATCCTGAGCAAGGATTGAAATTAACTTTTTCACTCACCAGCCAATTTGGCTACTAAATTTTTAAGTTACCGGTCATTCATAACTCCTACTAGCCAAAAAAAAACATGGTTCGAGGCTGTCTACACTGGGCGTGGCAAAGAAACCGTTGCAAATCATTTTGTGTCAGTACTAGGGGTGTGCGATATTGACAAAAAATAATCTCAATATTTTCTGGGATTTTATCGATAAAGATAATTAGACAGTATTTTGCTGAGTGTGTTATTGTGCTGATATCTTAAGGACTATCGTGGACAGCTGAATCCTAAAGTTTTTGATATTCTTCATATTCTGTGTGGTCAGTTCACAGCAGTGATAGAAATTCATCTTTTCCAATAAGTTTAAATTGATTTGTACCTTTTATGGGCATTTTTACTTTTATAAAGCCATTTTTTTTCTAAAAGTGTACATCATCTTTTGAGTCAAATTCTTACATTTAATCAGTCAATTATAATAATAATACATTTAGGCTATTACTAAACAAATGAAATCAGTATCAATAAAATTCATCTTTGCAGAAGTGGAATTTAGATGTATTTACACAATGCAGCTCAGAGGGACAAGGAATTGCTTTAACCTGCAGTTACAAATGCATAAATAATGTTTCGATATTTAAACATGAAATGTTGAATACTGATATTTGAAATAATTGGAAAAATGAAAAGATACTTTAAATGTGAAATTAAAACGACCAAAAATCGGCCCTGGCACTTTTTGGTCCAGGTGGCCCACCACAACCACTTATACACACATATATATATATATATATATACAGGGATGGAAATTAACTTTTTCACTCACCAGCCAATTTGGCTACTAAATTTTTAAGTTACCGGTCATTCATAACTTCTACTAGCCAAAAAAAAACATGGTTCGAGGCTGTCTACACTGGGCGTGGCAAAGAAACCGTTGCAAATCATTTTGTGTCAGTACTAGGGGTGTGCAATATTGACAAAAAATAATATCTCAATATTTTCTGGGATTTTATCGATAAAGATAATTAGACAATATTTTGCAGAGTGTGTTATTGTGCTGATATCTTAAGGACTATCGTGGACAGCTGAATCCTAAAGTTTTTGATATTCTTCATATTCTGTGTGGTCAGTTCACAGCAGTGATAGAAATTAAGCTTTTCCAATAAATTTAAATTGATTTTTACCTTTTATGGACATTTTTACCTTTATAAAGCCATTTTTTTCTAAAAGTGT